CTACAATTCCTCTAGGTTCTGACATTACAGCAGTGATCAAAAACTAAAATACAAGCAGGGGCCTGTCCTTATGGAATCTCCACCCTGACGGAAGGAAATGGGCGAGCTCAGATGAGCTATGGAGAAAAGCATAGCAGGAAGGATATGTCAGTGCTTTCCATTGCAGATGACCAAATCTGTTATTACTGGTCTAAACAGCAAGGGGTTTATCAGAGATTGTACTGGGAATTACCAGGCTTGGTGGGCAAGATGTTGTATGCTATCTGGGAGAGCCCAGGAATGCTACCAACCTCTGCCACACTTGGCTCCCCAAAGATAGGCTCTTGTGCTCACTTCCCTCACCTGTGCTCGGAAAGGTGAATGTTTCTGCTTGGAAAACTGTAGCAGAGAGACTTCCTGGTGTAATGAGACTCTTCCTTCCAGCCTGGTCCCAGAGCCACGTCAACCCCAAATAACAAACAGAGACTCTATTAGTTACAATGCTGTCAGCCAATGTCCAGGGATTCTCATTGGCTAGTTCTGTCTTAAGTATTAACCCATGACTACTAATATATATTTTTATAAGGACTTATCTTTCTGAGGACGCCCTCCTGACATGTCCTTTCTTCTCCGGGATCACATGGTGACTCTCCCTCTTGACTACATTTCCCAGAATCCTCCTCGACTCCTAGTCCCACCTACCTTGCTTACCTGTTGGCCAACAGTGCTTTACTTGTACCAATCAGACAAACATATACACAGAAGGACTTCCCCCATCAGCCTGGAGATGTAACTAGGACCTTTCCAGCCTCTGCATGAGGGATGGGTTCGCTGCTCTGAGTTGATGTGTCGGGCTACATTCAGGGGAAATCAGGCAGAGAGCGAAGGTGGTGTTGTTGGTTTGCATAGAGGAGATGAAGGTGTATCTCTTGTAGATCGCGTTTGTCTCGTCAGTGGTAGAACCATCAGTCATGCTCCCTGCTCTAAAGATTATGTCAAGTACTCTTAGACTTTGCAGCCTCACCCCTTAACACTGGGAGAAACAGTGTTCACTCTTCCGTCTGCAGCAGGCTGATCCACACCTCTGGGACTGTGGTTCTTGTTTTCTGGACACCCTCCCACTGTTGTCCCAATGATGGCTGTTGTCAACTCCAGGAAGATTTCTTTGCATCTCTAAGCCTCTCTGGTGCCACGAGTACAAACATTTTCTGTAGGGTGTTGCAGTGATCCACGGATGTCTGTTTCCCTAGATTCATGAGTCAGAAAGGGACTGGTCTAGGTATCATTATAACTTCAGTGTCTAGCTCCTACAAGGCAAGCAATACATATTTTAAACTGACATGAATCACATTTGTTAATTCGAGGAATTAGGAGAAGATGGGCATTCCAGGCAGAGACAATAGTACATTTGAAAGTGGGGAGATATGAGAGGGCACTGTACACAATGTGGTGAGGTGAGAAACAGGGCAGTCTGCTTGGGAGGGGTCCAGTGGGGTCCAAGAGTTCAGGGAAGGAATCAGAATGGGTCGTGATGCTCAGGAAATGTATTTGAGCTGATCTGAGAGCCCGAGGAAGCCAATTTAAAGGATTTTCAGCATGTAAGGGTCTTACATGATCAGATTTGTGTTGTTAAACAGATTTGTCTAACAGCTGAGTAAATGAAGGATTAGAACAGCTCAGAGTCAACGCAAAGAGGCCATAACTAAGTCATTTCAAATCGATGGGAAAGGCTTCCAGGTTGTGGCAATAGCAAGAACACAGGGAAACCTTGTAGGCTGAAGATGACTTAAGCCCACTAGGAAGTGAGATCCATAAACATGGGCTGTGGTTTCAGTCAGAAGGCTCTAGCCCACTGTTGGTCCCAGTCCACCCTATGCCGAATGCCTCAGCCCTCAGTTCTGAAATCTCAGAGTGATAAACAGTGAGAAAGAAACAGCATAGGGCTGAAGAGGCTTTGAAGACCACCGAGGCCAGGACCCACTCTTGTATATGACTGAGCCAAACAATGATTTTTCTGTGGTACCACTGAAGATCAGGAGGACTACCACACACCATTGCAGCATCTTTCTAATTTTGCATCTAGTCCCTGCCTCTACGATTGTCTCTTGTGCTGACTTATACTTTATGTACACTATAATATCTGAGAACAGAGACTTTCACTGCTGAGAACCATGTCTTGTCTCCATAGTAGGCACTTAATGAACATTTATTGAAAGAAAAAGTGAACCAAGTATAATCAGGTTTGCCCCACCCTGAACCAGTGATCTTTGCAGAGGTCTTTGGTTTGAAGGTTATCAAATGCACAATTCTATTTCTTACTAATGCTTTGCACAATCTCTCCAACAAAGATTAAATTCTATCAAGTAACAGCTCTATAGTTCACATGGCTTCAGATAGTAAAGAAAAAAATCATGATTTCATTACTTCAAAACCAGTAACCACTGGCCAGTTCATACCTGTTTGGATGGCTGATCTTTTAGAAAAGAATTGGTGAGTATGTTGATAAATAAGAATCCCGAGTGCCATTGGTGGGGTTGTAAAATGATGCGGTTGCCACGGAAAACAGTATGGAGGTTTCTAACAACTTAAAAATAGAGTTGCTGTATGATTCAACGATTCAGCATCTGGGGACATACCCAAGAGAACTGACAGCAGGACATCAAAACGGTGTTTTATAGCAGCCTAATTCCCATTAACTAAAATATACAAAGTACCTAAGTAGATAACTCAGGCTGGCTTGGACAGAGGGTCCTCCTGCTATGACCCACCAAATGGTGAGAGTACACATGTCTGCTAGTTTGTCTGACTAGAAGGGAGGAAATTCCAACACTTACTATATCATGGCTAAACCTTGAGGGTATTGTACTAAGTTAAATCACCAGTCACATGAGACAAATGCTGTGGAGTTTTTTCATTTGTTTAAATACCCACAAGAGTCAAACTCAAAGAGTCAAATAATGAAGTGGGAGGGGAATGCGGAGCTATTGTTTGCTGGGTGGAGAGCCTCATTTTGTAAGATGGAGAGTACTGGACACTGTTTGCACAACAGTGTCAATTTTTTTATGGGACTAAAGTGAAATCCTTCAATAGCTAAGATCGTGTACTTTATGTTAAGATTATTCATCATGAAGTATGTATATCTGGTATCTTATTTTACCCCACACTGTTGTCTTTCCACACCACGACCAGCCTGTGTACTAGTTATGAGACCAGGTCTCCTTGAGTAGTGCAGGCTGGCCTTGAACTCCTAACCCTTCTACCTCAGCCCCCTGAATAAGTCCTAATTTATAGTAAAGAAAATAGGCTTAGAGTCATACAAAGGATCTCACAGGGCACCTGGCTGGAGAAGGACTAAGCTGAGGCGTCGCACTCAGGATCCCTGATGCCGCTCCCAGTACAGGCTTCTGCCACATCAGGAGAGGGGACAGAGAGAGATGACCTGTTGACCAAAGTATAAGAAATGAACCGTTGGCAATTTGGAGAAAGAAGTGTGAGCGTGTGCTGGGTGGAGTTGTGTAGAGGGAGTGCGATGAGGAAAGTAGCAATGGATAGCTCGCCAGCCAGTTTGCAGCCACCTGCCTTCAACTTCCCTGCCTTCCTCAGCCCGCAGAGAGCAGGTGTGAGTCAACTGTAAACAGGCAAAGAGAGGTCGCACAGCGTTCCCTCAGCTGGCAAAATCCAAAGTCGCTGCCATGGCAATGGTCTGTGTGCATGAAATAAGGAAGGAAGAAAGGAAGAAAGAAAGAAATAAAGAAAGACTTAAAATGTGATCAGGAGAGGATAATGGCTCTTGCTGTTTGAAGTGACCTCCTACCTCCCATGTAGGCAAAAGATGCCAGATTATTTACCAAAATAAATGAGCAGTAATAGGAGAATGTGGACTAACAACCAGCTCCCTGTGTAGTCCTAACACTCCCTCACTATTCCCCACCCCTACCTTTGGCCCCAGGCCTGGGCTGACATTGCCAAAGCCCTTTCATATGCTGGATTTGAGCTGTGCTTCAAAGGGAACCACAAACCCAAGAATATTATCTGGCCCCTTACAGCTTTTCTTTGTCATAGTCCTACTATGTGTTGGGCCTCCTACTGGACTCTTTCTGTGTAGTAACCTCAATCCTTCTAGTGTTTGTAATACTATACAACTGCATGTGAAGTTCAGACAGGGTAGCACATAGGATTTTCCTGGACGAGAAAGGGCAGAGTCAGAATTTGGATGTGAGCCTTCTAAAGTTTTCTCTTACAAAGTGTGAAAGTCAATAGCCATGTTATACAGAGCTATAAGGGCATCAAGGGAGCAGTGAGGCTGCTGGCCCTACTGTTCTTCATCGAGGCGGTCTTGATGGGTGGAGAGTGAGCTTGAAATCAACTGGGAAGTGCAAGGAAACATTTGACAAGCAGATGGAGGGAGGGTACTTTGTGACCCAAGTAGGCCAGGATGGTGAGAGAGCAAGGTCTCCAGGTCAATTGTAAACAACCCATTTGGTGTCAGACTAGTCGTGTTTTATTTGTTTGTAGGAGATAAATATTTCATTATCTCCTGAGCAAACAGAGGCAATATTATGAAGAGCATTGCTCAATGTCAAACCAGATTTTAACTATTTTTTAAAGAGAGGAGCCATCAAATAGCTTATCAGACAGATATGGTGGCACACGCCTTTAGTTCCAGCACTCTAGAGGCAGAAGCAGGTGGATGTCTGTGATCCTGGTCTACATAGAATTCCAGGCCAGGCAGGACTCTTGTAGTGAGACCCTGTCTTACCAAAACACCAAAAAGGTTTAGGATCAATTGCTAGTACTGTCTCTAATCGATCCTCCCATGCTGTGAGAGCATCCAACATAAGCAAACTTAAGAGGGAGAAATGGTTCGTAGACAGCAGCAACTCAGGCTAATATTCTTCACCTGGGGACAACTCTGTCATGCCAGCCATGGCAGGCCTTTAACAGGTACAAGGAATCTGGCTGATCATGCTGCTCATTTTCCCCGGGTAACCAGACACTTTTTCTTCCTCTTCGTACTTTAGGAAGGAGTAAAAAACTTCAAGGAACTTCGAGCCAAATTTCAAAAGTTTGATGCCCCACCTCTTCCAGGAGCTATCAAGTTGCTGGCTGGTGTTTCTCGAAAGGATGACAGGGGACACACACAGCCGGCCCAGAGTGTGGCTAGCAGGAAGAGCGTGTCATCCCATCACCATCTACCCCTCTCTTATTCTTCCACCGAAGTGTCCCAGCCTCTTAAAAACCAGAAGATGAAGTCAGGTCAGAGAGGTGAGAATCAAAAGAATTCCTCGGGACCGCCAGAAAAATCTCCTGAGTGTCCTGCAGGAAATTCCCAGAAAGCTGCCATGCCATCAGATATGAGTAAATCGAGAGCTGAGACATCCAACCAGGAGAAAGGAATGATCGTCAGCAGCTTCAAATACAAACTTTGGAACTGGGAGAAATTTTCTTCTCAGAAGAGTGAGGTGTCCCCAGCTTCACCCCTTACCAACTGTGGGACTAGGACTTTCCATCTGGAAGGGCAGAAAACCACGGCTCTTGTTCAGATAAAACCAGAGACGAGCCCAGAGGCAACAGGAACAGAGACCCTTCCTCCCCAGAGCCATTTGATGGTCCAGGAAAAATCACCTGTGGCCTCTGAAGACCCTCCTTTGCCACTTCCTCAGAATGGCAAGAAAGGGACAGAAAGCCCTGCTGATGGGAGCCCCAGGAGTAGCCTGTACCAGCCTATTTATGAGTGTGAGCTTACCAGCCCGGTTCCAGGTAAGAAATCGAGTTCCCGCGGGACTGGAGACAAGACCATTGTGCTTTTTCTCATCCCAGGCCTGCAGACTTGAAATGTATGTAGCCTTTGCAATAGAAGTAAAGCTTGACTGTGGTGGGCGTATCTGTTAAATTGTAGTCTCAGGTTTAAATAAGTGTTTAGTTCAGAATTTCATTGTGGCACAGTTTGGCTACACTTGAACTTGAATCCCAGCTCTACCTACCACAAGCTGCATGAGCATGGGTGAGTTCTAAGCTTCTTAAAGCTCAGTATGTTCTATATGTATCAAAACATCACCAGCCTTCTCTGTGTGGGAAACAGCACAAAATATCATTTTCAGGGTAGGAACCTAAAAGGAATACTCCAATCTTCTGACCTTATCCTTTACTTTGAATCTGTCAACGACCTCTGACTCGACCCTAGAAGTATGCTTGGAATCCCTCAGACTCTGTCTCTGCCCTGGGCTCCAGTCTCTACCACGTTTTTCTCTCACTGGGCCCTTGCCATTGCTCTCCCTGCTCCCACACTCTCGTGCCACTACCCCCCCCCCACACCTCGTGTTCTGTTTTTCTTTCCACAGACCTGGTGAGCCTCTAAATGAGTCAGATCACATCACCCCATCATGGCTCAAAATCTACCCGACCTTCCAACAGTGCCTGGTGCTTGCCTGCTTTTCCATCCTCCTTGTCTCCTTGGACACACAGTCTTCAGACATAAAATGCCAGCTCCGCCCTAGGTCTTAGCACAGATCAGTCTATCCACCCAGAGACTCTGCTTTGAGGTCCCTTCCTCCTTCACAGCCTCTATTGCAGTGGCCCTTGCTCTGAGTGGACTCTTTAAATCGTTTCCACTGTCCCTGTTGCTCTTGGGCTTCTTGCAATTCTTTGGTTTTCTCATGACCCTTACCTCTCCCCAGTAAGTTGTCATACACTCGTTTGCCTCTATAAGGTCCCATTTTCAGAGGATAAAATTTATCTTCCTCACCACCTTATCACCCAAGAACAAGATCAAGTTCAGTCCCCGCAAAAATATTTATTTAGTGATTGATTAACTGGATGGACAGACAGATGGACAGGTGGCTTAGTGTATGAATGGATCACCTACACACAGTCCTATGGCTTTTCCTTATACTTAGAATAGAGGCTAAAGTACTATACATAACCTTAATTGCCTCACATGTTCATTCTTGCATCTCTGGCTTCTCTTCCCCTAACTCACCAGCTTATGGTCTACATGCCAGGACTCTCTTCCTTGTTGGTTCCTGCTGTATCACTGATTAACATCTTATTATGATGAACATTCCTAAAGTCAGGACTACATTTGTTTCTGTTATCAGTTCCAGCTCCCATAATAACACAGAAATAAAATACAGAAAATAAAAATGTATTTATTAAGGATGAAAAACAAGATGAATGGAAAAGATGTATGGGAAAAAATAAAGAAGGTGGATCATCTCCCAGGTGACCATGTGGAGAGTTTAATGAGATAACTGTTGCTGGTGGTTTCTTATCCCTCCAAGTCCTGCTGCCCATCTCAGCCCCAAATGAACACATATACACTATATTCATTATAAAACTATTGGCCAATGCCTAGGGCTTCCTATTGACTAGCTCTGTCTTAATTATTAACCCATTTCTACTAATCTATGTATTTCAACATGGCCTTATCTTTCCAGAGAATGCCTGGTGCATGCTATCCTCCCAGGAGCTCTCTGACTGCCTTTCCCAAAGTTCTCCTTGTCTCCTAGTCCTGCCTCTATTGGCCAAACAGGGTTTTATTCATCAACCAATAAGAGAAACATATACAGAAGGGCATCCCCCATCAGATAACCATGTAGATCAGCTTAGCACAAAGCTTGGGGGTTTGAAGTGAGTATCCTGATAATGATTGATGTTTAGTTTTCACTATGTTGTCTTCTTGGTTTTATTATGATGCCAATTCCCAAGATTTCGGCAAACTTACAGTTAAAGCCTAAGAAGAGAGAAATATGGCCCTGAACTTCTGGAGATGTGACATCTAATGGGAGGGCAAGAAGGAAGCTTGCTCTCCCATCCCAGCCTGCAGAGGGCACGGACTTCTCAGAGGCTCATGGGAAACCCAGTCTACATGTTTAGTTTGGGCCTGTGTAGACAACTACTGCATTGTGTGAGCCAAGGATGAAGATACCATATTTACTAAAAACTTTGTGTCCTTTTTCATCAAATGCCAAATATGATTTTTATGTATAATTATGAACTTTCTGTTGGAGTTGTATTCATGAATACAGAAAGCAGAAATACACGCTATTGAGACTGTTTAGAAAATCCTCAGACCCAAAACTCTCAGATTCTAAGACCCTTGAAGCCAGAGCCCTAGAAATTCTGAGATCAATTCCTTCTCTGCTGTATAGTCCCATGCTATTTGCTCAGCCTGTACTTCCAGGGAGTAATCACAGTCCCTGCACTCTAAGCAAGGAGACTAGTATCACAGGGTCCCCATAGAAGCAATACACCAGAACGTGCAGATTAGAGAGTCCTAGCCTTGATTCTGGGGATCTGACACTGGAGTTCAGCCTCATAATAACAAGTGGATGTTGTTAAGAAATGAGTCAGCATCCCACAGTCAGGAGGGGCAGACACAAAGTCTCAGCAGATATGAGAGAGTCACTGACAGTTTTTAAAGCCAGAGCTGGAGCAGAAGATGTGTGCACTGACGGTTGAGAAGTAGGACAGGGTCGTTTGTTGAGCAAAGGATCTGGAGCTATGAATCCAGGTTGTGTGGAAATAGTACATCAGTAAGTGGTTCATGCTGATGACCAGCAAGACAGTGATGTAAGCAGGTGTGTGTTTGGGTCTGAGTGATCTCACGGCTGGATTGGGGACTAGTCAGGGGAGGGAGGCTGAGGCCAGCAAATGGGTCAGTTTTACCTAACAAAAGTAAATAATGCTGTACATGTTTTCCTATTCATACTCAGAAAAGCCAGAGAGCAGAGATGACCAGCTTCCCAAAACAAAGCCACTGCCATCCATTGAAACCCTCGGGCCACCTCCCCCAAAGCCTTCAAAACCCCCATTTGTGAACCTCCAGGCCTTCCACAAGCAACGAACTGCTGTCTCCAAGACCCTGAAGGAAGGTAAGAAGATGCACAGGACCTGCCCACACCAGCCAGAGTCATGGTCCGGTGCCTGGACCACATGCCTTTCCCTCTCCACCCTATTTCCACGTAACAAGCTGCTCTGCCAAGGAGCTGAGCATCACTACCCCTGTTTGCTCGCACAGCTGGGGCAGCTTGCCCATGGAATGACACGTGTAGGAATTGGTCCCTTATCACTCCTGAGCCAGTCCGCTTCCCCCTGAGAAGGCTGCATTGCATCACTGGGGATCTGTCAAAGAGGAAGAAAATGAAAAGTCTCCAAGCAAGGAAACGGCAAACCTTTGTGTGTGCGGCACAGGCACAACCTGTGCTGTCCACAGTCAGGGAAGGATGAAGGAGAAGAAAGGACAGGGGCAGAGTCCGTGTAAGCTTGACCTGACACATTTACAAGCGTCCCCGCGGCCCCTGGGCCCTGCATCCTCTGTAGGATGGGATGCACCTGTGGAAGCCATTTTTGTTTTTTTTTAAATTAAGATTAAAAACAATCTTATTTTACATAGCAATCCCAGTTCCCTCTCCCTCCTGTCCTACCATCTCCCTATCCCTCCCCCACCCCCATCCACTACTTAGGGACATTGAGGCTTCCCATGGGGGATCATCAAAGTCTGTTACATCATTTGGGGCAGGACAGAGGCTCTCCCCCTGTATTTAGGCTGAGAGTGTATCCCTCCATAGGCAATGGGCTCCAAAAAGCCAGTTTATGCCCTAGGGATAAATCCTGGTTCCACTGCCAGCAGCCTCATAGACTTCCCAAGCCCCACAACTGACACCCCCACTCAGGGGGCCTAGTTTGGTCTTATGCAGTTTCCCCAGCTGTCAGTCTGGAGTCCCTGAGCTCCCACTTTCTCAGGTCAGCTGTTTCTGTGGGTTTCCCCAACATAGTCTTGACACCTTTGCTCATCACTCCTCCCTCTCTACAACTGGATTCCAGGAGTTTGGTGAGTGCTTAGCTGTGAATCTCTGGTTCTATGGAAGCTATTTTTCTGTGTCCTCTTTGTCTCTCCCTCTGCTATTTAAGGGAATGCCTCTGGACCTTTGTGTTCCTACCTCAGCATCATCTTGTTCCCCGAGTGAACATGAGGGGAATGCACTCTCGGGGTATTGTGTCGTCGGTGCCCGACAGTGCTGTTTATTTTGCCGTGGCTATCAGTACAGCAGATGGTGTGGCAGCAGAGCTGATACAGGATTCAGTTGTTCATTTGTCTGCTTTGAGCAACTTCACAGTTGAGTCTCCGTCACTCAGTGGTTCTTATACTGTAGGCAGCATCAGAATCACCTGAAGGTTCTCAAATACTCACTCCCAGAGCTTCTCATCTTCCGGGAGCCCGAGCATTGGCCTTTTAAGTGAACAGTGGCATACTGGCCAAGGGAACCACACATTGAGAACCTGCATTTCAGATCACACGCAGCCTCACTCTTTAAGAAAAGTCCCCAAGAAGGGACAGAGCTTTTGTAGGTGTATAGTGGTGATGTGGCCAGGTCCGCATCAGAGAAGATTGTTGATTTGTTTTTATTTATTTTGTTTCCTTTTTGAGATAGGGCTTATCTGTATAACCCTGGCTGTCCTGGAACTCACTATGTAGACTAGGCTGTCCCCAAACTCAGAGATCTGCCTTGCTCTCCTTCCTGAGTGGTGGGAGTAAAGACATGTGCCACCCTGCCCAGCGGTGATTTTTATAAACATTAAAGAACTCATGCTTCGAACAGTTGCCCCCAAAGAGAGATGGCTATCTAGAACAAAACTCTAAGTCTATTATAATAAAACAGGCTTTGTGGATCTCATTCCCTTACCAGTAGCCATTTCAGTTTAAACATGGTACTCATTGAGCCTCATTTTCCTGTTGGTGAAGGGGACGACCACGGTACTTCTAATCTTGTGGAATCGTTTGTGAGAAAGTATTTTGACCATGCATGGCAGACAGCACATGCTCAGTAAATCAAGTGTCATTTACAACACATGTTAAGTAGTTATCTCCACCAGGTCACATGGTAAAAAGCAAGTAATTGAGAGGTTAAACCTACACAGGGGTTCCTGTCCTTCAGGAGGCCAAAGCGTACATAAATAACATTATGAAGTGTAGAGATGTGTGGCTGTCTAGGGACAGACAGTCCTCTGGGTACCAGGGTGGGAGCATCATTCACTTTAACTAGCCTGCCACCAACACCCACTTTTCCTTCTGCCTCTTGCTCTTGCAGTGACTGTGAAGGAGGGCCCCCTGCCTCCAGATGGGTGAGTACGTGTTCCTCTCCTGGAGGGGTGCAGCCCACTGGGGAGACTCATGGGCCTTCTCAAGCATAGGCAAGAAGCCCAAAGCCAGTATTCCCCAGAAAGGCTACAGGAAGAACAGACTTACAAAGCAAACAGTAACTCTTGGTTTTAAATACAAGATTAAGTAAGGTGCATTTAACTACTGCATCAATGTTAAGTTGCAAACAGCATCCTCTGAAGTATTTGGTACCTCTTAATTGTACAGGTGGGTTTAGTATAACATTGACCTTCTTAGTTACAAATCAACTAAGAGGCTAAAGGTTGCTCAGGGTGGCTGCGGCGTTAGGAGTTAGAAATGGGATAAAAGATGTTCTATTTCCGGTGCCTCCTCCTGCGAATACTGTTATGGAACAGTCAAGTCATTAATTCACCTAGCCAAATAATATCTCTTGAGCCCTTTGAAGTGACCTGCCTTGAGCCACCTAGTTTTGGTGGGTTTGCCCTTTTGCATGTCTCTTGAGGGCTGCAAAGTTGCTGCTGCAGCCCTCATTTTATGGCCCCAGATGCCCAGCTTCAGAAATGTCCCACTTGCCAAGCCATGATTAATCCTGATGTACCCAAACTATTTTGCCTAAGCCTCACTCCCTGGCAGAGGTGTGTTTAGCAGGGACAGTCTTAGGAGAAAAAAGCAGACAAGACTATTCTAAGTCTTCCATCAGACATTCATAGTAGTCAAGCATGCTGCCTACAGTAAGGGAGCACGTGATTCAAAGTTTTCACCAGTGAGAGAGCAGCCAAATTTCCTCAGGAGGACCAGGAAGTCTTTAGAAAGGTGTTCCCCTATTGCAACATTAGTAATTCTTAGGGAAAGCAGACCTCTACTACCAAGAGTCCTTGAGGACAGCTGATGTGGACTCCACAGTAGCTCATGTGTTATCAGACTAGTAGTGATGCTGGCTGGAGTTGCTCACATGTCCGCAGCTCAGCTGGAAGCTGGCCGATTGAGAGTTGCCCTAGAGCTGGATCCATTGACTTGGTGGTGACCATCATCACGAGATAGAAATGCTCTCTTCTCTTGGCCAGCTGACAAGCAATACAGTAGCATAAACACTTGCGCTTTCCAGCCTTTCCCCGGTCACTTTCACTAATGATCTATTACTCAAAGAACATCACGGGCTGAGTCCAGAGTCGGACTAGAGGGGCACTGAAGACTGAATGCCGAAGGATGAGATTGAAGGGAGGGTGGTAACCAGGGACATTAACCCACTCAACCCATTGGTGAATAGAGAACACTTGAGTCCAGTGTGGAGGATGAATGTTTCCCAGGATAATTCTAGCGAAGAGATGCTATAGGAGGGGGCAGGAGGCATGTGACATAACCTGTCTTTATGGAACAAGAGATTTGAGTGGAATCAGAATGTGGACAGCATAGATATGGGATTGAAGAGCAGACAGGAGCATTGTGATGCACCTTGTACATCCAGGGATTGTTGAGGTGGCCCTGTCCTACCAGGCTCTGGCTGTGTTGTACTAGACATAATTCATGTGATCAAAATCCCTGGTGTCATGTCCATTTGAAAGAGCTGAGTGCCAGGTGGATCAGCGAAGCTACAGTTATTTTTGTGAAAGGGCAACAGTGTAGAAGGTTCTAGCAGTGGTTGACACTGGCCACTCAGTGTCACAGAGTGACAACCGAAGTGGCAGTGCACCTCTGCAGTGCTCTGAGTCAGGCTGGTCTCACGGCTGTCATTTTGGAAACATCTCAGAGTGAGTGTAACTATACTGGGCATATTGGCACTAGATGAAGATTTCTCTGACATTGTAAGCACAGCAACAGAAAGTCATTTGATGTTGAGAGCTGTGAGGGTCCTTTGGGAGACAGTTTCTTGTGTGGCACTATCTTCCTACAGGATTTATGAAGGCAATTTTGGCTATTCTCCCCTGCCACACTGGCTTTAGAACACAACTCCCATTTGAACTTTTTGTCATATGTGAATTATGATATAGGTGTATGTGATAAGAATGAAAAGCAAAGGAGATAAAGAGGGACCACAGTACTCAGAAGTGGGGTAATGGAAGAGGAACTAATCTGAGGTCTACCCTACACCATAAGCAGGGGTTAGTTAGGTCTACTTAATTTCTTTCATGATACTGTAATATAGAAATGAGATATGAGTAGGGTGGTTCCTCCTGGTAACACACAGCCCTGATGGGTCACTGGTTGATGGATGGATGGATGGATGGATGGATGGATGACTTGATGAATAGTCAGCATGGAAATATAACTGGATACAACAGCACATGGTTGTAATCTAAACACTAACAAGGCTGAGACAGGAGACTTGACACAGGTTCAGGGACAGCCTGGGCTGCATAGTGAGACACTGTCTCAAAAAAAAAGAAGGATCAAAAACTTAAAGATGAAAAAAATGTGTTGAGTATAGGTGGTAATAAAGAGGGATAAACAGACAGAAAGTACCCTGATGTGGAAAAATAATTAATATGTTCAGATTATAAAATACAGCCAGCCATCTATACCTCTGGGTTCTGATCTATGGATTCAAATAAACCTTAGGTGAAGAGGAGTATGGAATAGATTCTGTCTGCTGAGACAGAATGTAAAAACATTTTCTTATCCTTATACTCTGAGCACATGGTGTAAGAGCCATTTATATGTATTGGTACCATGCTAAGCATGCTAATAAGATAGAGGTGAGGTAAGTGTGTGGGAGGAGGTGTGTAGGTTCTACATAAATACTAAGTGTGTTATAAAGCAATATGGGCATCTGTAGCCTTTGGTGTTTGCAAGGGATTCCAGAAGAAATTCCCCACAGATACTGAGGGGCAGGCAATTGTATATTAAGTATCATGCTAAGGATTTTGGCCGATGTCTTGTCAATGACAGGACAGGTGTTAGCTTGAACATATAACTGTCATAATGCCCAGTAGCCTTGGATACAATTTCCATGGAAACTGGTGCTTGCTGGAGAAGAAAAATCTTCCTTGTTCGTGCACTAACCTTCAACACAGATATAAGATTTAGGCATAGATTTATCATAACTGGAAAATAACCTGGCAGTTTTCTGATATAGCCAGGTCACGAGCATGAAGATAATGAGAGCCTCCGTTTTGAATCCCAGCACTACCACTTAACATTTGTAATATTGAGCCTGCCTTAACCTCTGCAATCTTGTTTCTGTTCTTGGGGAATAGTGAAATGAGAATTGTAATGTGTTTCATTATAGTGTCTGGCATCTAGAGAGTAGCTCATTTTGCTATTATATAACATCCCCAAGGATGGTAAGAATAATGCGAGACCACTACTTCCTAAACATCTATGGATGGGGAACTCAGTAGCTAGAATACTCAGTACATATCTTTCTTTGTTGATCAGATTTTAATTCATTTAATATATATTTCTCCAGTTATATTCTGTATACTGAACACTCTTTCAAATGAAATTGGCCTCCATACCCCAACGTTTCAACCATTGGTACCATCTGAACTTGATTCTTATGTACAACAGACAGGACCTTTAGCCCTCCTCCTCAGGACCGCATTTAAAGCATAGACTGTCGCCTTTCTCTTGACCCTTGTTGATGAAGTCTTTGTAGTTTTGCTGCATTTGGGGGGACACACATTATGATCATCTTGATATGAACTCAATGCCATCCTAGGTGGCCATCTTTCATTTCTGTACCTCTTCCTACCCTGTGTTAAATCTGAGAAGCAATGGTATGTGACACAAGTATATTTCCAGAGTCAGAACAATAAGATCAATCCCCTTTTCCACACTTGAGGGAAGTGGCAAATTGCAGAGCTGAGCTGTTTACATCTACAAATAGACATACGATTGTATTTCTTTGAATGTGTTGTTAGGACCAGTGTATACACCAATCAGTACATAGATGATGCTCAGTGAGTCTTAGCTAATTCTTCAACACAACCTCACCACCCTTGTTTGTATCTGAAATATTAATGCCTCATTAGCTCACAACAGTGATAGAGATCTTTAGGGGATGTTTCTTCTCATCATTCTTTCATGCAAACCAAGCTGGCTGGCATTCCTCTTGAATCAGCAGTCAGAGTTTGTGTGAGCAAAGCAGGTTGGTCCCTGGGCAACAGTTAGCTTTAGGTCACTGTCAGTACTTAGCAGGGTTGTCTAATGTTTTATTCATGTGCTATAAATATGGCTTTCTTCTGTTAAAAAGTGGCAGCGGGTAATCCTGATTCGGGGAATGTCTGACTTCGATGAGAGAGAGAGGGTATTTACTTGAGGAGTAGAGAAATTGCTCACTTATGGGAGGTTCTGTCCTGCCTGTCCCACAGATATTTAGCTCCAAATAAACACACAGAGGCTTATATTAATTATAAAATGTTTAGCTGATGGCTTAAGCTTCTTACTGACTAGCTCTCTTAATTTTTAACCCACAACTACTAATCTATATATTTCTACATGGCCTTATCTTACCAAAGAATGCCCAGAGTCCTATCTTCCCAGCAGCTATATGGCTTCTTTCTGGTGGCTCCTCTCTGAGTTGCCCCCCACCGCCCCCCACCAGAATTCTCCTCACCTGGTAGTCTGGCCTATACTTCCTGCCTGGCTCCTGGCCAATCAATGTTTTATTCATCAACCAGTAAGAGAAACATATATAGAGAAGGACATCCCTCATCATCTGAAGAGCCTGCAGGTGTGTTCATATGAAACTACCATTTTCTCACTTGAATCTTTAATTTTGTGTGTGTGTGTGTGTGTGTGTGTGTGTGTGTGTGTGTGTGTGTGTGTACGTGTTTTGGAGACAATATCCTACTATCCTGTTCAAGGAAGCCTTGAATGTATGGCCACTCTGCCTCTACCTCTCAATAGAACTTTTAAAAAATTTAAGATTTATTTTTATTGTTTTCAATTATGTATATGTATGTCTTAGTGTGTGGGTATGTGCCACTATATGCAGGTATCCTCTGAAGCTAGAGGGGTCAGATCGCCCTGGAGTTGGAGGCAGTTTCTGACCTGGGTGCTG